AAAAGGATGCGCAGTAGCACCGTGTTCACCCACTTCCCGGTCGGGATTTGCTGCAGCTGCTCCTTCGTCTCCTACGCTAATTGTGAGAGGAAAAGCTGTAGCGCCATCGTCTATTTCAACCACAAAAGGATGTGCAGTAGCACCGTGTTCACCCACCTCACGGTTGGGATTTGCTGCAGCTGCTCCTTGCTCATCCGGTTTTGCATCTTCTCGGATTGCAACAGCTCCCCGATCATCGATAAACTTGTACTTATCGCGATCATACTTGTCCATGTCCACGATATCCACATATGTCTGTGATATAGATTAGAAGGTAATCAGGAATTAAGTAAGTCGAATAATCAGTGAGTTAATGAATGTCAACAATGGAACCAGGAACAAATCAAAAATGAATCATTTAATAGATAATGAAGATTGCAAAGACAGGAACCGATTTGCGTGCAAAAATTGATAAAGAAACAAAAGCAGGTAAGGTCGACCTCTTTCGTCCAAATTTTCAAAACTATGACTTCAATAGGTTCTCCATACTCGCCAATAATTAACAAATAAGGAAGTGGCCAGAGAAATCTATGGGTAAACGCGAGACGTAGTCGAGTGTTGTTTCTCGCTAATTCTTTAACATTTGTTTAATAATGAAGATTCCATCAAATTCCCAACGCATTACTTACTATTTTCAAAACAAATTATAATTTTGGAAGCAAACAAAGTGGCGTTGGTATGTTCTATACTCCCAGAAAACATGCTGCAATGAGCCAATCGGAATCCGTGCTAGAATGATTCAAATAATCCGATTGGTTGAATTAGACTTCAGTAGTCAAAAATGTCAAACCATCAAAGCTCACAATCTGTAAGAGTTCACAAACTTAAATAGTTCGACAACTCGAATCTAAAAACATTTTTGCCTGAAGTTTTCTAGTCTTGATACAGTCTGAAAGTGAAATGTACGGTGAAATCAGCCCGAATCGTGTCTCATAAAAACATGCAAGTTTTTTCAAATGGCAATTAGCAAGCAAATTACCCGAGGCGTATGTTTTATGAATGAATGACAGCCAAATTCTTAGGAACTTGAAGATCGTTCGGAATTACAACCCCGTAACATACGGCTGTTGTGACCGATGTGGTCTTCCACTCAACGTATCGGTAGGGATATTAGAGTAAACCCTTAGTTGTTCTCTGTGAGATTTCTGAGGCATGCCTCACTGGGATGACCGGAGATCAGCAGTCGCTTCACACCATCCTGATCTGTATGAATTTTAACAGTTTGGTTATATTTTCAAGTTTTATTATTCCTTTTTTTTGTTCTGTTATGTTTTTTAACACGAAAATATACATACTATACGAGTGTTGCCTGATTTTCAGTCTTCTTACCATTTATAAGCTCACAATCTGACTCAGCATGAAAACATTCAAGAAGTCCTTTTGGTTATCTCTTTGAGGATTTTTGTCTCTGGTCAAGTAATGATAACGTTAATTACGGCGCTTGGCTTGTTTACAAACCTTTGCTTGGCTCTTCTGTAGCTATTTGCTGGGTCGTTAGCTCCGAGATTTCACTTTCCATTAACGAAAAATAAAGTAGAGAGAAGTCTGGAAAATGGTCGAATTACAAATTGACCGATGGCGGACAGCTTTAGCTCAGCTCCGTGTTTTGTAAGCTAATAGAACACGCTCTTTTAGCCATTAACAGTGCGCATTATATCCCAACTTTATTATAATATAATTAATGTCAATGAAAGGACCTGTGATCCTAATACACAGACGTGCACCTCATAAAAAGAAACAAACGCTTTCGGGAGAAAGAAGCTGCTACTGTGGACCTTTTGAAGATGAACAGCTCCATTACTCTCTTGCACACCAACCTCTTCATCACAAAGGTCTACAGCATCACCTTGGTCCTCCATATGTTTTCCAATATCGTCTTGTTCATCCTCTGTGTTCTCAAGTTGGCAAGTCTTAGGTTCTTCATCACCTCTTACCTCCTTTACAGACTGTACTGCTGCAGCATCTTGATTATCAGCATTAGTTTCAGGATTGCTTGTTCCACCCTCTTCGACATCTGGAGGAGAAGTGGAATCAACATAGCCTTCTTCTTCAATCATGAGAGGGTATTCGAAAGAATCGACATCTTCTTCCCCGATTACGGGAGAAAATTGTGAGGCATCAGCTTTGTTCACCTCAATGGTAAGGCGGTGTGCTACAAAATTAGGATCTTTTTCAGTCACTCCAGAAGGGCATACTGTGGCTTCCAAACCTTCTTCCCCAATCATAGGGGAGCACGCTGAATTGCTGGAATCTTTTTCCTCAATCACAAGAGAGCATGCTGAACAATCAGGATTTTCCTCGTCAGTCACAAGGGGGCATACCAGAGTACCAAGACGGTTATTGCTCATGACCAAAGAAGATGGCAAAAGATCGTTCTCTTTTTCCTCAATCACAAGAGGGCACTCAGGGTCGTCAATATCGTCTTCCTCAAGCCCAAGATGGCACTCAGAGTCACCGAAATCTTCCTCCTCGCTCTTGCTGAGGTATGGTAAAGTATCACTCTCGTGAAGGTACGCTGAGGCATCAATATCTTTTTCATCACTCTTAAAAGAGTGCGCTGCCCCACTTTCTTCTCCTACTTTGATTCCGAAAGGGAAAGCTCTAGCACCATCCTCTATCGCAACCACAAACGGATGCGCAGTAGCGCCGTGTTCACCCACTTTGCGGTCGGGATTTGCTGCAGCTGCTCTTTCGTCTGCCACGTTAACTCTGAAGGGGAAAGGTGTTGCACCGCCGTCTATTGCAAGCACAAAAGGATGCGCAATACCACCGTGTTCATCCACTTCCCGGTCGGGATTTGCTGCAGCTGCTCCTTCGTCTCCTACGCTAATTGTGAGAGGAAAAGCTGTAGCGCCATCGTCTATTTCAACCACAAAAGGATGTGCAGTAGCACCGTGTTCACCCACCTCACGGTTGGGATTTGCTGCAGCTGCTCCTTGCTCATCCGGTTTTGCATCTTCTCGGATTGCAACAGCTCCACGATCATCGATAAACTTGTACTTATCGTGATCATACTTGTCCATGTCCACGATATCCACATATGTCTGTGATAAAGATAT